CCCTGGGGGTTGATTTCTCGCTTTCTATCTCTCTGTCTCTCTGTCTCTGTCTGTCTGGCGAGCGCACGTGCCCTATAGCAAAAACCTCTCAAAAGATAAAAAAGGCTGCACCCAGGCCCCGATCCTAGCTCAGACCTCAGACCACACACCTGGGCTGGCGCTGTCTCCCGGGTAAGGGAGGTAGCTGCGAGGGAAGGGCCTGTTCTTACCTCAACCATCACACCGAGCCTGACGTGATCGGTCCCCACGGGGACCCGCCTGTCGGCGTAACTCTCCTCCGGGTGCTTGCTGGGCTTAGCCTCTCGGCAGCAGCTGGCGTCTTCATAAGCCAGTGCTTTGGCTGTGGAGGTTTGATCGCTTCATCTCAGAACACACCCTGCACCCCAACCCCAGGACCCACCTCCCCTTCTGGCCCACTTGGTCCAGTTGCTGGCCTGTGCTCTGGGATGGTCTGACTTTGCGCCCCACAGTGACCTGGAGAGGGACGAAGCATCAAGAAGCATGGGGCTCCTCACCTGTGATGTTGCTGAACCCCAAGTTGCCAAAGGACAGCACGACCCAGGTGGGCTCGGTCCCCCCGGGGGCCACGCACATCTTCCTGGTCACGTGGCGTTTGCCGGGTTGCCCGACAAACCGGATGCCCTTGGAAGCCGAGATTTTCACGTACACCTGCAGAGGGTGGGTGTGGGCGGAGGGCGCCTGGAAGCCGGGCAGCCCTCTTAGCATCCCTGGGTCCACAGTGCGCCCCGCGGTCCACGCCGCCCACGGTACCACGGGCCTCGGCTGGTCCTTTCCAAAAGCCACGCCCCCTTGAAAGACCCACCCTCCGTTTCTGCGAACAAACCACCCGCCACCGCCCCGCTGCCCTGCGCCAGCTCTCGGTTCCCGCTCACAGCCATGGACCTGGCGGGGAGCCCCCTGGTCCCCCGAGCAGCACACAGGCCCAGATCCCCCTGAGGACGGAGGCAGGTCCTAGGGCGACGTTTGCTGCCCAGACTCCCGCAGGGTGCAGGTGGAAGCACCCTCCTCCTGCAGAGCTTCCCCAGCTCTCTCCACTGTCAGGATAGTCTGGGGGCCGGCAGATGGCATGGTGGTTAGGGCGCTGGGCTCCCCCACAAGGCTGACTGTGGTTCGAGTCCCGGACCTGGCGGCTTGCTTTCTCACTTTCCTTCACTCTCTCGCTCTTTTTCTCTCTCTGGTGGGTGCATGTGCCCTACAGAAATTTTTAAAATTGGGACCTGGCAGGTGGCGCGGTGGTTAAGGCGCTGGACACTCTCACAGGGCTGACCACAGTTCAAGTCCTGGACCTGGTGGCTTGCTTTCTCACTTTCTCACTCTATCTGTATCTGTCTCTGGTCAAATTAAAATAAATGAATAAATAAAACAATTTTTAATTTAAATACTAATAATACTAATTTTTTTGGAGAGGTTTTTGCTATAGGGCGCGTGCACTTGCCAGACAGAGAGAGACAGAGAGACAGAAAGCGAGAAATCACCCCCCAGGGGGGATGGCCACGCTGCAATCCCTTCTCCTCCATTCTCCTCTCGGGATCTTGGGCATGCACACACACGCGCCTGGTGTGAGTTTAAGCCACCGGGTCCAGGACTTGAACCGCGGTTGACTACGTGGGAGTCCAGCGACACAGCCATTACGCTAACTGCTGGTCCCTCTGATAGTAGTTTTATCACATCATCTAGTGGAACGTCTGCTTTGCTCCTCCGCCCCAGAGCACAGTGGGACAGCACCCTGCCGGCCTCACCCTCGCACCGTCACTGGCTCCCTATGGCCCTCCTAGGCGGCCCCCACGGGAGTGAACAGCCAATGAGAAAGGCCGCGTGTCTAAGCGCGCCCGTACCTCGACGCAGGAACCCACGTAGTTGTAGACGCTGAGGAGGGTCTTCACCTGCTCCCCACGGACCACGCGAGGGGGCAGCGTGAAGTCTACGAAGAAAGGCTTGAAGGTCTTCAACAAGGCAGGCTCGGCGATGCCCAGGCCCCGCGTGGGGGACAGGCCCACGGCCTCGGTCACCCAGCTAGTGATGGAGTCCGGGACCTGCACGCTGAGAGTCTCCTCCCCTGATGGGTCACTGCGGAGAGACAGAACCACGGCTCTGCGCTGGGGCCATGCCACACGGACAGAGGGAAACTGAGGCTGCATGGCTTGGGGGCCTCAGGGAGGTGGCCTGGGAGCTTACAAAGGAGCATTAAAGGAACTGTGCAAGGGGTGAGGAGGTGGCATGGTGGTTAAGACGTTGGACTCCCACATGGTAGACCCCGGTTTGAGTCCCAGATCTGGAGACTTGCTTTCTCACATGGCTCTCCGTCTCCATCTGGTGAGCACATGTGCCCTATAGCAAGTTAAATAATAATAATAATAATAAGAGGGACCAGCAGTTAGCGTAATGGCTATGTCGCTGGACTCCCATGTAGTCGACCATGGTTCAAGTCCTGGACCCGGTGGCTTAAAACTCACGCCGGGCGCGTGTGCGTGCGTGCCCAAGATCCCGAGAGGAGAATGGAGGAGAAGGGATTGCGGCGTGGCCACCCCCCCTGGGGGGTGATTTCTCGCTTTCTGTCTCTCTGTCTCTCTCTTTGGCGAGGTCACATATCCAATAGCAAAAATCTCTCTCAAACACCAAAAAAAAAAGAGAGAGAGAGAGAAAGAAAGAAAACGTGCTTTCAGTCTGTTTTGTGGGCAAGAGCCCGAGCCCCCCTGAGGAGCGAGGAGGGAGTGTGTGGGGTCACGCTTGTGTTCCAGGGAACTGTCACTGCTCTAATGAGCTCAGTATGCAAACAGAGGAGATCCAGTTACCCAAGGGGGAGTTGAGAGAGGCCTGCGGTTCTCACGTTTCATGTCACGGGCAGAGAGCCAAGGCTGCAGTGGGACTTGGGGCTCACTTCATGGATCTGAGTTTTATGGTTTTAATAAAAAACGAGCAACGTCTCACTCAGATGTCGGTAAAACCCACTCGCACCTCTCTGGAACTTTTTTTTCTTTCTTTGAGAGGCTTTTGCTATAGGGCGCATGCGCTTGCCAGACAGACAGAGAGAGACAGAGAGACAGAAAGTGAGAAATCCCCCCCCAGGAGGGATGGCCACACCGCAATTCCTTCTCCTCCATTCTCCTCTCGGGATCTTGGGCACGCACGCACACGCGCCCGGCGTGAGTTTAAGCCACCGGGTCCGGGACTTGAACCGTGGTCGACTACATGGGAGTCCAGCGACATAGCCATTATGCTAACTGCTGGTCCCTTTTTTTTTTTTTTTTAAAGAAGCTGTGCCTTAGAGTGCATGCCGTCATTGAAGAGAGATTGAGAGAGACAGAGACAGAGAGGCAAAGTGAGAAATCGCCCTTCTGGGAGGACGGCCACACGGCAATCCCTTTTCCTCCATTCTTCTCCCAGGATTTTGGGCACGCACGCATGACATGCATAAGCCAGTGGGCCATTTTTTCTTTTCTTTTTAAGTCATTATTTTATTGAACTTTATTTATTTATTTTAATTTGACCAGAGAGGGACAGAGTGAGTGAGAGAGAGAAAGTGAGAAAGCAAGCTGCCAGGTCCAGGATTCGAATCGTGGTCAGCCACGTGGGAGTCCAGCACCCCCAATAATCACGCTCTCTGTCAGCCCCCGCCACCAGGTGATTTTCAAGCCACTGGGTCTTGGACTCGAACCATGTTCAGCTACGTGGGAGTCCAATGACATAACCACTGTGCCTTCTCCTGGCCCCTGGACCTGCCTTTGAGTGAACACGCAGAAAACACAGCAAAGGAATCTTACCGTACCTGATGTTGAGACAGCGCCAAATCCACGTTTCAGGGAAGAAGGTCCTTTTCCTCCTCTCTGTTCTACGGAGACAGATAAACAGATCGTCATTACATGGACAGGGGCTGGCTTCATGAAACAATGGTAATACCTTGCTCAAGTCTTACACCTCAAAAGGAAAAAAAAGGGACCAGCAGTTGGCGTAATGGCCATGTCGCTGGACTCCCATGTAGTTGACCGCGGTTCGAGTCCCGGACCTGGTGGCTTAAACTCACTCCGGGCGCGTGTGCGTGTGTGCCCAAGATCCCAAGAGGAGAATGGAGGAGAAGGGATTGTGGCGTGGCCATCCCCCCTGGGGGGTGATTTCTCGCTTTCTGTCTCTCTGTCTCTCTCTGTCTTTCTGGCGAGTGCACACGCCCTATAGGAAAAACTTCTCCAAAAAAAAAATTAATTAATTAATTAATTAAATAAATAACTCTTTAAAAATTTATACTTGATAGAACACGTGTGCTTGGTGGAGAGCGGGGTGCATGGTGGTGGGGGAGGGTTCAAAGCTGTCAGACTGGACTGAGATAAGCCCCATACGCCAACAGCATGGGGTGAGAAAACCTTGTTCGAGGGACCAGCAGGTGGCGTAATGGTCATGTCACTGGACTCCTATGTAGTCGACCATGGTTTGAGTCCTGGACCCGGTAGTTTGAAACTCACGCAGGGTGCATGTGGGTGTGTGCCCAAAATCTCAAGAGCAGAATGGAGAGGGGATTGCAGCATGGCCATCCCTCAGGGGGTGATTTCTTCCTTTCTGTCTCTCTCTCTCTGTCTTTCCGGCAAGTGCATGTGCCCTATAGCAAAAATCTTTCTCAAGGGACCAGCAGGTGGCGTGGTGGTTAGGGTGCTGGACACTCCCACATGGCCAACCATGGTTCGAGTCCTGGACCTGGTGGCTTCCTTTCTCACTTTCCCTCTCTCTCTCTCTCTCTTCACTTTTTCTCTCTCTCTCGTCAAATTAAAATAAATGAATGAATAAAATAAAATAAAATAAAATAAATCATTTTTTAAAAAGAAAGAAAGTAAATCTTGTTTGAAGTACAAGTAATCACCTGGGGGGGTGCCGGGAGGGAGCCGTGGCCACCAGACTTCCCGTGTGGGGCTGGAAGGCGGGGACAGCCTCGTCGGTGTACAGGCCACCATCCTGCCGGTGGTTCAGGCTTACAAGGTCGGTCATCACCACCAGTCCTGTTTCCTAGGCAACACACGACATCCAAAGCAACGGTGTTGGGGGGGACATGCTGACGGCCCAAGACCCACAACGCAAACGGGGAGTAAGGAGCCTCTGTATCCATGGGCGCTCGCCCAGCATCCTTGCTGTTGACCTCTGGGGAGTCAAATGCTCTCTTCTGGCCTGGGTGTCTGCTGTGATTTGAAAGTGTCCCTCCCCGATTCTTGTGTTAAAATCTGCTAAGCCTGGGAGCTGGCAGGTGCTGTCGTGTTTGACGGTGCTGGACTCCCACATGGCTGCCGGGTTCAAGTCCCAGACCTGGCGGCTTGCTTTCTCATTCTTATTCTCTCTCTCTCTCTCTGATCAAATTGATTAATAATAATACATAAAATTAAACAACTAATTAATTTCTTTAAAAAAAAATAAAAGAATTATTGTATCTCCCTTTATTTACTTTTAATTTGACCAGAGAG